GAAAAGATTTTCTACACATTAATTTTTAATTATAATTTTCTTAAATATGTATTTTTTATATTTTCAACAAAAATTGTGAGAAATTATTAGGGTGAGGTTTAAAAACCTTATATTTTATCTGAAAACGTCACAAAAGTGACCACTTTTATGACCAAATGTCACAAGTAAAAGTTTTGTCTTCCAGCGCTTTGGACTAAAAATTGTATTTTTGTGTCTTATGACAATGACATTTACCAATGTTGTTTTTTTCTGGTCTTTTTTGATGCTTCAGCATTCGATATTTTGCACTACTAACTGCACTAGTTAAATTAATACACTTTCTAAAATCTCAACACAAATTCTGATTATTTTGTCTATTTTCTTGCAATTATAGCATTGCTTCTTACCCTCGATTTGAATACGTTTGCGGATAAAATATGTTATTCGGAGTAAAAGTGAAGTTATTACTATTACTTTTACTCCTAATAACATAATATATCATTATTAAATTAAATAAATAAAATAATATATAAAATAATATATTATTAAATTTTTCTTTTTCTTATGCATTGTTAATGTTCCGAGTGCGTTGATTATCCAAATTATGAATTGCCGATTAATAAACGATCTCGTGCAATATTTCAAATTGATTTTGGTAATTGTAATTTTATGTCAAACAAAAAGCCTGGTGGATTCCAAGAAAAAATAATTCGTTTTTTTGCTTAGAACGTAAAAAAATAGATTTCTCCTTTTAATTATTATTTTTGTTCATTTCTGTGTGGGGAGACATCAGTCTTTTGCCAATCAGATCGAACCTTAAATTAATTTACAGTTTTTGGAAGTTATTTGGGGTAAAAACTCCTCTTTTTGCCACATTTACATCAAGCAAATTTTATTTTTAATTTTATAATTCAGAATGCAACTTGTTAACCAATTAAATAAATATACAGGGTGCGCCAGATACTCGCGCCCCAGATAAAAATGCAGCATAAGGTAAGATACCAGGAACATGGAAAAAAATATCTTTAGTTTAATTTCATTTCTGTTGAAAAAATAATTTTCCAAGTTTTTTTTGCTACAGGTCATAAGAAGAGGACAAAAGGAAGCTGAATCCTACATTGTAACTCTGTTCAATGTTATTTGTGGCTTTTATTGGCAAAATTTTTGTACCTTTACTAAATAATTATAAAAAAACATACAAGATCATCAGTATCATTAAATAAACATAAAAAAATGTCAAATATCAAAAATTTTTGACAGATAGAATTTTTTAAACATTTTTTTCATGTTCCTGGTATCTTACTTGAAATTTTTCTCTGGGGCGCGATTTCTGGCGCACGCTGTATAGTTTAGTTTTTCAGCACTTTACACACCAGAAGGGCGTAACAACCAAGCAGTGCCTTGGTGAAATCCAAGAAAATTCATAAAAATCAGCCACGAAAACATGAACTAAAAGGCTGCTTTTGACAATAATCACTTTCGAACGATATTTATGAGAGCAAACTTTTACCTCAAATGGATGAAAGCTGTAATTTAATTTGCTTTGCTTTTGTATGGTGATTAGCTTTAATTTGAACAAAACTTACAAAAGGTCGGTTCTCGGTGAACACAATATCACTTCACTTGCAAGAATTTCATCCACCGTTTGAAAAATACTAAACTAAATGTTTACCGAAAACCGAAATGCCTTTATTAATGCACGGGCAACTTATAATAACTATAATAAGTTGCTCGAATGTAGTTATATAAAAATTTATTCTTATTTTACATGCCTACGTGCTTGTATGGTATTTTCTTACCTTTGTACAATACAATATTTTGCAATAGGTTTTACCAATAATAGATGTGGTCGCTGGATATTCATTCGTTATTGTTAGTCCGACATTCACTCATAAATGTTTTAAATATTTATTCTGTTAATATTTTACGTTCTTTGTAAGTTTGTATAAAATTATTTCATCTAAATATATTTCATTGTGTTAATTATTTTTTTGTGTTGGTTATGCAACCAATTAAACTTCACCTCAAATTTGACATTTGACAAGTAAAGGTTATGTTTTTTTAATTATGACAAGACACGCCAGAAATTGCACTGCAGGGGCTGTGTACACCTACCACGAGAAAAAGAAAGATGCCCAAGCTTCCGGTTATGGTACAAATGCCCAGCGGTTGGGCAAAGACTCAATCAAAGATTTCGATTCTTGTTGCTTGTCTTTGCAACCTTGTCGAAACCCAGTGATAACGTGAGTGTCCCCCACACAAAAGCCCAATTTTGTAACTATTTCACAGAAAAGACGGTTATTTGTTCGATAAAGAAGTGATCCTGGAATACATCATTGCAAAGAAAAACGAAAACAGTAGAAAACTGAAAGAGTATGAAAGACTTAAACGCAAGGAGGATGAAATCTCTTTGGACAAAGCCACCGCTGAGACTAACCAAAAAGTTGAACGGTTTCTTAAAGGAGAAAATAGTATCATTAGCAAACCAACAAGTCACTTCACGAGTGGTATTTTTTTTCTAGTTAAATTTCTCTTTATCGTTGATTTTAGAACCAAGCACGTCGTCAATTTCCAACATGGCAGTGGGCCGTGACAAAGAATTACCAAGTTTTTGGGTCCCATCTAAAACACCCACTGCGGAAAAGCCCAAATTACAGAAACCTGTAAGAACTTGTCTTCATTTATTTATTCAATCATTATTTTTGTAGCATAATGTCGTTTTGTGCCCAATTTCGGGGAAACCCCTCAAAGTAAAAGACCTGATTGAGGTCAAATTTACTCCAATAAAGGACTCCGGCGAGAAAAAGTCACTAATTGCGAGGGAATGTCGTTATATGTGTGCTGTAACACATGATGTTTTGAGTAATTCGGTTCCTTGTGCCGTCCTCAAACCAACGTGAGTGTAAAAAGGTGACACAACCAAAATTTAATAAATTTCTAGGGGTGACGTTGTCACGTTAGAATGTGTGGAGAAAATTATCAAAAAAGATTGGGTTCATCCACTCACTAGTAAAAAATTGACAGAGAAAGACATTATTGTGATGCAGAGGGTAAAACAGTTAACTGTAATTGCAAAAATAAAGCGATTTATTTGCAGGGGGGCACAGGGTACGCCCGAACTAACGCTGAACTGGAGGCTAAGCAAGAACGGCCAGCTCTTCAAGCCTGATTGAGAGTTTAATTTTAATAAATTTACTTGACTCAGTTTTTTTTTAATTACGAAAATTCCTCTTCTACAGGTTTCTTCTTTCTTCTCTTTTTCACTGGTGCTTCAGTATCGTCGACTTCTGCCTTACGTTTCGTTTTTTTCTTACTCTTTGAAGTTGTCTCAAGTTCTAGAAAAAAATTAAAGGTTGGAATTTCATTCTTGCGATTTTACCTTCAACATCAAAAATATTTTTTTTCGGTTTTTTGTTAGTTTCTGTTGCTAATTCATTTACTGTGTCAATATTTACATCAAAAGTGATCTTGTTATTCACCCCCTCATCCAGGACATTTCTAGAACCAAATTAGTTTTCACATTTTTTATGAAAACTGAAAATAATTACATAATTTTCCCCTTAATGAACGGTAGTTTTCCCTCGAAATTGGTGGACGTAATTTCCAGTTGTATCCTGCTACCAAGGTTGAGATTTTCGCCAATCCATTCCTGTTTTTTTGGCTTTGGTAGAGACACATTGAAAATTTTATGTACCAAACAACCCACATGATCCTTTGTCTTTTTGTGGACAAAACCCTCCAGTATTTTCCCAACGACTGGTTTAAAAATGAAAAACCCGGCTTCAATATCGACGTGAATATAACAAGAATCTTCACAAATTTGTCCCACTTTTGATAGAAGTTTTATATTTTTGTAGCCACAAAGAATCCCATCTAATCTAAAAACAATCAAATTATTGTGTCCCGTTTTGTTTAAATGCAAACCTAATGCAAAATTTGCCTATTTTTGAATTCAAAATCTCCTTAACGGAATTGTTTAAATCACTCAAATGGTAAGGATGTAGGGCTATGTGCTCCTGAAGATTAAGTAACTCAACACATGAATTCTCATCAACCACCAACGAATTCAATTCATCGAAGTTGAATGTCTTTAACAATTTTTGTTTTTTCATTGTGGGGGCCACGTGCGGGTTGGGTAACCTCACTTTTTAGAACCTGAAAAACATGACGTAAAGGACTTACGTAAAATTAAAACTCTACATTTATTCACACAAAAAAGCACTTTCTTCTAAATTTTTGATTTTTTAATTCGTTTAAAATTCTATTTTGAATTTTTGACAATTGAAGTGTGCGCTTACAATCCTATGTGCTCCACGTCTTATTTCGGAATTATTCTTAATAAAACTCACGAAACGCAATCTTTAATTTTACTAAACCTAATTCAAAATTAAGAAGAAACACATGATTTCTAAAATTATTACTCCGTATTTTCCCATAGTTTAAATAATAAGACTATGAGAGAGTAGGGTTGCATGAGCACTTTTTAGTAAGTTTCATTTTATCTAGTGCTTTGGTATCAGTCGTACCAACCACCACCTCAGGTGTTGACATTTTACGTGTTGTTTCGTTTCAAAAGTGTCAAGGGGGTTGTACAAAGTTAAATACAATTTGTACAAGTCTTAAAATTGTGTGAAATGAATTAAAAAAAACATTTATAGTGTAAAAAACATTTAAACCGGTAAGTTGACCATGTTATGCTATGGTAATCCTCTCGTTAATAAGTCAAGATTTGACTATTCAACTGGGATATGTTGTTTATTTTTGAGTAGAAAAATTTGGGAAAAATTTCGAAACATGTTCATGGCAAAAGCCAGGAGTTTGTCATTGTTTTGTCGTTGTGAATTCGAAAAGTGTCGAATTGATTGTGGTTTTGTAAGAAGAAATATATACAAAATATTTTTTCTTTTCAATAAATTACTTCATTTCAGACAACTCATCATCATTTACTATGCGATTTAATAAACAAGAACTGATCACATTGGCCACACAACCATCCACCAAATTTGAAAAGGAGGGCATTTTGTACATACGTGAGAGACAAGACGGATTTTTTCGAAAAGCTGAAAGTAAGTTTTTTATAATTACATCAATTAAGATTCAAGCTGTTGTATCAATGAAAATACTGTTTTTTGAAATGTAAAAATAATTTCAGAAACCGATTGCACAACAGCCAAGTGTGGGTTTTTTATGTTTATGAAAAATTAAGTTCTACCATCGCAAATTGAATGATGAGAGGTGCAGTAGTGTTCTCTTCTCATTGTTATTCATTTTTAAAAGTTTAATAATCAGTTGTGTTGCTAGATTTATAAAAAATAGCATTTATCAAGTAAAAATTTTATGGGATATTCGCTTTTCTTACTATTGTCTGTTTACTGTTTTTTTTTTCATGATTACTAATGTACAATTTTCTCACAATTTACTTTTAATTCTACCTTGTGAAGATTTCACTAAGGTTCATTTTATAATTCTTCGCCGATTAACTGGAAAATGTTTGTTTTTTGTTTTAAATAAAAATGAGAAAATTAAAGTAACTGTTTTTCTGATTACTAATTACTGTAAATATTCCACCTATTTGTGTATACTTACATAACTTTTCATGCAATCATGTACATACTTAACCAGTAAAAATGGAAAAAAATACTTGTACTTGCTACTCCACGTACATGAAGTGTGATTTTATTTATTAAACTTATGATTTCATTAGCTTATATGTTTCTTATCGTGTATTACAGGTAAAAGGAAATATCAAAAACGTGAAAAGAGACTTCGCAATCTGAGCTGTGTAGGGGGAGTAAGCAAAGGTACTACCACGATGCACCTCGCTTGGATTTTATCTTGTTTGTTAAATATTTTTTTAACGACCAATAATTTTTTCCTTGTACTAACAATGGGAAATCTTTTTTTTTTAATAGTTTTTGCTCATCTTTGGATTTATTTCTTAATTGGTCCTTATCAAATTAATTACTTCTACATTTTTTGTTTGTTTATTTAACATGCAAGATGAATTTACAGTAACTAACACTTTGCTAACACACATGTAATTTGTTGCTAATTTATTAAAATGACAGGTGGTGGTCTTGTTCATTTGATTCGTTTTGTAACATCAACTCATTACTAACATTGGCTTGAAGGTTGATTTTGGGTTATTAAAATAGCTATCGTTCTGTGTCATCATGTCATCATTACAGCTTCCACAATAACATTTAGTTTTGATTCGTTTTTATCCAAAGTTGCAATTTTTTATTTCGTCAAAACATTGTATTAAAAACGACGTAGTATGAGTAATGTCAAAAACAATCTAATCATTTGGTAAACATAGTTTTAAAATATTTACAAAAATCGTCTTGTGTAGTTGAAGAAAAATTATGAAACAAATAAAAAAATGTATTTATTGAATGTATTATTCAATTTTTCTAGACTATTGTTTTAAAAAACTCATTAAAATAAGTAATGAATAAATTAAAATTCTCTTCACGTCAATCCGGTTGTGGAATTATTTGTATTTCCTATTGTGACGTGTTCAGTTTAAACAATAATGTTTGGTCAAAAAAATTTCTGATAATACAGGTGTTTAGTAAAAAACGTTGTTTATTTATACAGTGAGTGGCAAAATAATAATCTCATTAAAAGTGAAAATATTTTGTTATTGTTTTAAAATTTTATTTTTTTTTGGTTTTTGAGTAATCACGTCTTCGTATTTTTTAAAAGAACACCTAATTTTTTTTAGAAATAAAGTTTTTGAAAAAAAAAATAATCCATAAGTAAAATAATATCAACAAAAAAACAAACAATTGTAAATCAAGCTGAGAAGTTTGTATTTCTTAAAAAAAATTGACCCGTTTTGAGCATTTTTGTCAAAATATTTTCAGTTTTAATAAGATTATTCCATAATTTTGTCACTTAATTTTACATGCAACATTATTGTGGGTTATTGAAAGCCCATAAACCGATTTTTTGTTAATTTTTTGCACTAATAAATAAAAAAAACTTCAAATTTTGTCACATTAATAATAAAAATTTGAATGAAAACTGACGAAAACGGAAAAAGTGTCGATTTATTTAAATAACAAATAAAAAGGTGAAATCTTGAAAAATTTTTCGATTCAAAAATTAAATAAAATTAAAGATTTTTTGAGTTACACCTTTATACAGGTGGCCGAAAACATATTTTTTTTTTAGGTTAATATAAGAAAAAAAAAGTTAAGGGAGTTAAAACCCTTTTTTTTTTATTTCAGTAACTGGTTAAGATAAATTTACAAAATTTTGCATTTTGGGTAATTTTTTGGCACTGAATTTACTAGTACCTGTCTTCAACCTATTTAAGGCGAAAAATTTTGCTTTAGAAAAAAAAAATAATTTTTAAAAAAATCGTTTTTTTTGACCATACATTACGTAATGAATTTTTTTTATGTATATAAGGTCGAATTATCGGTCTAGCTTCTATAGTAAAGGAATTATTTTTTGCTATTGACCAAAATTACCACCCAAAATCTTTTAACGTTTTTTTCATCCTGTATATCAGAATCTATAAATATTCGGATAATATTGAATTTCATTTTACCTCTATTTTGCATACTATTTAAAAAAATCTTTTGAATTAGTGAATATTAAAAAATAAATAAACTAGTCTTCAAAAAAATTAAAACTAGCTATCATATACAATAATTTATTTATTTTACATTTAATTTCTTAAAATCGGATAATAAATGATGGAACTGAAAGTCTTATGTTTTTTAATTTCTTAGATGTAAATTTTTGTAATACTTTAAATCTTTTTTCTAGGTACAAATGGACTTTCTAAATTTTTCATTATTTTTTTAACATTTAAACAGTACGAATTGTGCTTTTTGAAGTTGATAAAAAACATATAAAATGACTATTTTGACTTTCCTATAAGAAACTTGAAATATGGTATGTAAATTTCTTGTAGGAAGGGGACGCAGCACGAAACAATTGGTAAAAATCGGTCGCACCGTTCGGTCGCAAAGACCAAATATCAAAATTATAAATTTTTTAGCAAAAATTAAATAAATCTAAAGATTTTTTGACGTTAAAATCGAAGTTACACCCTTATACAAGTTGGCCGAAAAAACATTACAAAATTTTCTATAGGTCAATATAAGAAAAAAAAATTAAGGGAGTTAAAGCCCTTTGAAAATGGCAACCAAAAGGTCTTTTTTTTTCAATTATTTCAGTAACCGGTTAAGATAAATTTACAAAATGTTGCATTTTGGGTAATTTTTTGGCACTGAATTTCCTAGTATCTGTCTTCTACCTATTTAAGGCGAAAAATTTTGCTTTGGAAAACCTTTTATGATTTTTTTTACAAACTCGGTTTGTTACTTAATTTTAAAAAAAATCCTACGTAATGAATTTTTTTATGTATGTAAGGTCGAATTATCGCTCTAGCTTCTTTAGGAAGCATTCCTGGGTATAGTATAGGATTTCTTTTCTCTATTGACCAAAGGAATCACCACCCAAAATCTTTTACCGTTTTTTTCGAACATCCTGTTTATCAGAATCTATAAATATTCGGGTAATATTGAGTTTCATTTTACCGCAACTTTTTTAAATTTTTGCACACTATTTAAAATCTTTTGAATTTGTGAGTATTAAAAAATAAATAAATTAGTCTTCAAAAAAATTAAAACTAGCTATCATTTACAATAACTTATTTATTTTACATTTAATTTCTTAAAATCGGATAATTAATGATGGAACTTAAAGTCTTATGTTTTTTAATTTCTTAGATCTAAATT